ACCGATCGTTCCTGTTTCTCGGGGAGGACTCCTCGGCCGACTCTTTGGCTTCTTGACACATCCTTCAGCTTTATTCCTCTTCTGAGTAGGGGATCATCGCTCCTTTCAAGGGAGGGGATCGGTCGCGCTTTTGGATGGCCACTGGCTGAGACCGCTATAAATGAGGACGACGCCCAGTTTATCGGGGAGTAAGGTTCCGAGAGTCTTCGTGTTGTGTCCTCCGTGAGGGAGGAGAGGGACTGTTAGAGACGGGGAGATGATGTCTCTGCGGGGGAGAACGTGATTGTCGCTCCTTCTCGAGCATCCCTATTCTCTCATTTTGTTGGAAGATCATCAGATTTGTTTGGTTAATCGCCACGAATAGAGCCATCATGGTTGGGTCGATGATGGGTGGCACCGGGATCGGCTGGTAGATTGTCGGGCTATCAAAGTGTCGGGCATCATTGAAGGCTACGTCTTCCGAGGAGGGAGAGGCGGTGTGCCCATCCCTGGAGTCGCCCTCTTCGACGTGAACGGTCACATTGGGGTCGTGGCCGTCACCGTTGGTGAACAGAGCGAAGGCGGTTTTTGGAGCGTAGTCATTGCGTGGGCTGGCCATGATCAAATGGAGATTGAATTTTGTTTTGGTTCTTGAGCTTCTATGCTTTTATAGGAGAAAGAACGAGGGAGCAAAGGGTTCCCACAGACAACGCCACTGATCTTACCGGATCAGAAAAGGATCAGCAGTCTGTCACACGTCGTGAGCTCCTGTGTTCACCGGTGTTGAAGAGGAGGGGGTTTACCTGCAAGGTACTCTGATGCTAAAGTGAGTAACGGAGTTAGAGAGAGCAAGTACAAAGAAATATGTGTAGAGTTTAGAATACCTAAGTCTTTAGTGAAAAAGGATATTTATAATGTGCCCCCAGCGCAGGGCCAATGGTTACTTTGCATTGGGTCGAATTGCAATACCCAATACGAGTAACTGCTAGGACTTGCGTAGCGTAGAGAAGACCAACACATGGTCTTCACCCTGGTCCAACTGCCCCGTGATCTTCGGAAGGTGGAAGACCAGTTCTTTAGAATACGGGTAGTTGTCTGATGACGTGTACCCGCGTGGGGAACACGTGGAGAACGTGGGGAAGGCATGTGAGCTCTCCTTGTGCTAGGTAATGGTGTGCCCGACCATAAAGAGTACTGAGCGTGCCCGACGTTATGCAGGATTGGGCCTTGCTGGGCCTCCCCAACGTAGTATTGGGTTGGGTCTGCTCGACTGTGGGACAGGTGTTGGCCCAGTTCAGAACGCGCGCGCGCACACACACACACACACACGCACACACGCACGCACGCACACACACACACACACACGCACGCACGCACGCACGCACACACACACACGCACACACACACACGCACACGCACACGCACACACACACACACACACACACATATTTATATATATATATATATATATATATATATATATATATATATATATATATATATATATATATATATATATATATATATATATATATATATATATATATATATATATATATATATATATATATATATATATATATATATATATATATATATATATATATATATATATATATATATATATATATATATATATATATATCCCTAGTCTCATTTTAGAATAGAAAAGGATATACCATAAAATATTCCTTATGTAATTAATACGACGAGTTGTATATTACACTATATAATACAACTTCGATAGTGTTATTGAAACATATGGTTTTATTTAAATGTCTCTCGTCCGTTTGAGGTGAGTCCCCATTGCGTACTGGCTAACGTGCGTCTGAAGTGAGTTCACTCTTATCAAATCATTGTTTCTTTGAAGTTGCATCATGTTGACTAGGTCGATCTGTTTTGGTGTCATCACTTATTCCTTTTAAAGATACATCAATTCTCTTGGTTTTGAAACTTCCCGAATGTCTGCTATCATGTTTTTTTTTTGTTTTTAATTTTATGCTATTATTTTTTCAAATAATACATTTCATATAATATATTTCATGCTCTATTCTTTAAATAACTTACAAGTTGTTCTTAATCCATAAGAAACATGAGCATGACTTTAATTGTCACATGAAATAAGTTCACTATCAAATACAAAAATTGACCCTTGGCATAAGAGATTTTTCAATTCACATAAATTAACATGTTTCACAAATCAAAACTATTTTGTAACAATATTAGCAGGAAATTTATTGAAGAAGAAACAAAAAAATAAAAATAAATAGATGAAAGTAACGAAGAGAACTTAAACATGAATAAAACAACCATAACCTATAAGAATGATGGTGGTGAGAGAACTAGTGGTAACAGGCAATCGAGCAGCAATTTGGTGAGAGCAAGTTTTTATGGCCTATGATTTTTATTTTTATTTTGGGAGTATGGTTTTGCCTGTATGTTTTGTTGAAAGGAATGAAGTGTCAACAAAGATGGAGAAAAGCTGGAATGATACAAAAATTGGACTACATAAAAAATTAAATAGGTATTTATAATCATCAGTTTTGCGGTTCCTAAAAACTAAAACCAATAACCGAACCAAACCACCTCAGTTTTTATTGGTTTGGTTTGGTTTTCGAATGAAACCAAAAATAATCGATTTTTTTCAATTTTGTTTGGTTTGGATTATCGATTTAATTGGTTTTTTTTATCTGCTTACACCCTAACCATAACAGACTCTTTCGTTGCATTTTTTCTCTGCACCACCAGCCAATCACGATGAACTACATTTATTGATCTAGATGCTTTTTCGGAGGGCCTCTTAACTGTGCCACCGTAGGAACGAATGGATGCATTAAATTATATGGTGTTTTCTTGCAAGGTCATATCAATCTCCACATAAATTCTCGCAAATCTTCTCCTTTTTACATTCAAGATGTTAGTATCTATCTTAACAACATTACCCACAACTGATGCCAAATCAAAAATGACACTTTCATCGTAATATAATAAGTTAAACCTTGAAAATTAAATCTAAACCAAAGTCTTCTCCACTTTTGCGAGAGAAGATGCAAAGTCTAAAATCCATCGAGCCGTGGTCAAACAACATCCATGGACCTTTTGAGAGAAACTTTAGTAGCAATTGATTTCCTCATTTAAGAGACTATCATAAGTCCATTTATTTTATGTCTATTTATTTTAAAATAACAAAATACATTTTATGTTTATAAATTTATCCCACAAGTATCGTTCAATCAAAACTAGCTGAAGAAATCAGTGTTTGACTTCTCCGTTCTTTCCTTCCTTCTCTCCCTTTCTGCTATAAAATCCAAACTGACGGATAAATCGAATCCTTCTTTTCCGTTCCGCCGCCGCGTGCAGTGACGCAATTTTCACGATATTCACTCATCTCTATCTGTAAGTCTGCATGTTGTCTCTAATTTTGAATTGCCCCTCATTCATTCAATTTCACATTCTCCGATGTACTTCTTATAGTTTTTCATTATATTTAATAACTGTTTCATACTCTATGAACACACTACACGATTGTAAGCGAAGGTTGAATGTAACATGTGTGATTGCCGTGTTGGATACCACATTTGATCGGAGTAATGTTAGTGCTACATAGTTGATTCTTAGATGGTTATATGAAATGGAAATAATGTATTAGGGTTTGGGAAAAGAGTTTTAAATGGTAATCGCGGATGTGGCTGCGATTGCGGTAGGTTGTTGCCATTAGCATTAAGGCTATTAGGTTACGTTTGGATTGATAAGAAGAGGATGGAGTGGAGCGAAACATGATGGAATAGAACCTGTAGTCCACTCTGTTCCATTCCGCTCCATTTTGTTCTGCTCCTTTCCATTACACTTCGATTGTTTATGTTTGGATATTGTAAAATGAACCGAGCAAAATGGAGCGGAACGGAGTGAAATGGAATAAAGATGTCATTTCATTATTTTGGATATCATTCGGCCCAAATCGGAGGGTACAAAAAATAATGGAAGTAATGGAATGGGATAGAATGCATTACATCATATTTTGCTCCATTCCAGCCTTTTATAATTAATCCAAACAATGGAATATAAATTTATACCATTCCATCGCATCAATCCAAACATAGCCTTAGGCCAAGGTTGTCAAGATCGGGATCTTGCATAAGATCGGCAGGGCATAGTAAAATCGTAAAACATAAGATCGTATAACTAAGATGGGAAGATCCTACCCAATTATTTTTGTGAGATAGAGAGGGGGGTAGCAAGATTGTAAAACATAAGATCGTAACAAAAATCGTAAGATATTACTAAAATGAAAAAATTATACTAAATATTTGAAGTTTTTTTTTATGATATTTTGGTAGGCAAGTGTTTCTTGGGAAAATAGCCTCTGCCGAACCGTAATTGTTGCGCCTCGGCATCTTGTCAGCCTTCTGAGTCTGTAATGGTGGTGGCTAGAAAATGGCAAGTGTGGCTGGAAAACGACTGATTGTGGCTGGAACTGGCCAAGATCACTCAAAATCAATGATTTTACAATTTTTTTTCATAATTTGACTATAACACGCGATTCTACTTAAGATCAGGATCGTTGGGGGTGAGTGAGATCGCAAAATCCTAAGATTTTAAGATCTAGATCGAGATCTTGACAACCATAGTAACTTTATGCTTCCACAAACTGTATAAAGCGGCACCACTATATAATTTATCCACTATAGCTTACTCTCAGCTTACCTCTTAGTTTACTAATACTGGTTGCGAGATGCTTGAACTACACATTTGAGAGAATGTAAAATGTAAGACTTTTCATTAGATTTGATGAAAATTGAGATGCGGAGTTTTGAAACCCTAAGTTTGGGTGAGAAGATTTGAATGAACATGGACGAAATCTAATGACGTGGTTACTATGCGGCTGTAGACGTGATTAGATTACACCTATATGAGATTCTATATTGTATTTCAATCTAATGAGTCAATTACTTACCTGTATAGAAAACCTTGAGCTGTTAAACAGCTAAATCATCAAGTATCGTGTAAGCAGGGAGGGGGTTATGGCATCTTCAGCAGCCTTGCGGCTAAACAATCTTCGAAGACACTTGGATTTGGATGACACTGCCAACAAGGTACGAAATATGAATATCTGCAAATCTTTTTATGAACTTACAAGTTATGTTGTTCCGTTTCTAAAACCCTTACATCCATTCATGTCTCAATGTAGTGAAAGTTTGAAACATAATTTATAAGCAATGTATAACACAGGTTTGATATACAGGCTGCAGGAGTCAATCCCGTTGGAGCGTCAATCAACGTGAAGGTAGCTCCAGAGGTTTCTGAAGCGTTATCACTAGGGCATGCAGTTGTTGCTCTGGAATCTACCATTATTTCACATGGTTTTCTATATCTTTTTATATATATTTTGTATTTTCCTTTTCATGTCCAACGCCTACCTCCTAATCTTTGGTCTATGCTCTTGTTTTTAGGGATGCCGTATCCCCAAAATTTGGAAACTGCAAAAGCGGTTGAAGCTGTTGTGAGAGAGAATGGTGCGGTTCCTGCAACTATTGCAATTTTAGACGGTGTGCCTCGCATAGGTATTTATCATCATCTTTTATCATTCATTTTAAGCACAAGTCATTTGATCTAATAAGAATGATGCAGTGCTTTCAGTTAACTACTTGTGAATCTCCTTCGCATGTTTTTTTTGTGGATATAGCATATGATGTCAATACTCAATTCTATTCTAAGTCTTCTCTCTATTCCTACATATTGATGTTGGATTTGAATTTGAAATGGGTGTTTGCTTGCAACTATGCTGCAAAGTGAGTGAAAATGAAATTCTAGAAACATTCATCTCATGTGTCCACAAACTCTAAAAGAAACTTAAATTTCATCCCATTTTGACTTTGCTGCTGCAATTATGGCTAATGTTTATTGTATCTTTTTGTTTGAATTTGACAAATTTTCTACGGTTTGCTTGTTTTATTTGAATAGGTCTAAGTGGGGAAGAACTTGAAAGGTTAGCTACTTTGGGAACCAAAGCACAGAAAACAGCTCGAAGGGATATTGCATATGTTGTGAGTGCTTTTGGTATCACCATAGACTATATTTATGTATATGTCGATATGAATTTTCTTAGCAATAACAATCTACTGGCCTTCTAGCCAAAGAAGTGGAAAAATGTACTTATTTATGGTCGTTAATTGTTACACCATGATTTTACATATTGATAGTAATTGATCTGCTTTTTTAGGTGGCTAGAGGTGGAAATGGTGCTACTACTGTTTCTGGCACAATGTTCTTGGCTTCTATGGTAATTTTCTCATATATTGTGTCCATAGTTTCTTAATGTGATCTGTTTCTTGATCAGTCCCTATATTATATCAATTTGGTTTCACCGTCTGAACATTTTAAAATTTTCTGCAGGTTGGTATTCATATCTTTGTGACTGGTGGGATGGGGGGAGTGCACAGGCAAGGGGAATATAGTACGTTAACTTCCTATATCTTAACAATAGAAACAATCGATTTTCACAATGAATGCTGACAAATCTACTAAGATGAAACATGTTCTGGTCTAAATTTTCGAACCAAATGAATCTACCTTTGCATATTTTATTTTTTGATTTTGCCTCATAGAAACAACATTTTCTAAGATAAACAAGAAAAGGGATATATGGCCAGCCAAGCTAGGCCTTTTACAGAAGAGACCTTAAACATTTTTGTGCAGGCCAAAAATACTTGTAGTCCCTGTATTTAGTCCTTATAAAAGCAAAATAGGGACCAAATTTGGACAAAAATTATTTAGAGACTAAACTTGAAAAATTGTGAGTTTTATAGGAATTTAAAAGTATTTAACTTCAACTTATATAAAAGGAACCAATATATAGTGGGAATTTATGTGTAGTATGATATTTTCATGTAACCCTCTTGAAACTTAAGAACTGAAAATGTTTTTTGTTTTAATTTTTAAATGGGGTTTGCATAAATAAGACTTGTATTTTTATTGAGCATGTCATTTTCATTTTTCTTTGAGCAGCTATGGACATATCTTCAGATCTCACCCATCTTGGAAGAACACCAATAGCAGTTATATGTGCTGGTGTAAAGTCAATATTGGATATCCCTAGGACCCTTGAATATCTGGTATGAAATTACTTTTGTGATAATATTACTAAAGTAATTCTGCATGCTTAATGGATCGAGCTTATAATCACTTTTTTTTTTTTTATCATGAAATAGGAAACACAGGGAGTTTGTGTAGCTGCTTACAAGACCAATGAATTTCCTGCCTTTTTCACAGCATCAAGCGGCTGCATGGTGCTTTAAATTTTGGTTTACCTAATACTTTCAAGTTTTAGTGATTGAGATCACTCACAATACATTTTAATTCACTGGTTATAAACTAGGTCTTCTGATTAGTGATCCAATTCATGAATTCGCAAGCATGTTTTTGCCTAACATTATTATTGTAGCATTTTAGATGTGGCTTGTGTGATTGGATTGTAAGCAGTATGACCACATGATGTACTAAGAAACAAGTTTAATTGACAATCTTTTGTTTGATCATGGCTTAATTTTCCAGGTTCCATGCCGGGTAGATACCCCTGAAGAATGTGCTTCCTTAATAGGCAAGGGAAACATTGTTATTCATTTTTTCATTTTCAATTTATATTTATTTTACCTATGTGATTCCTTCTTATTTTTGTTCTTCTGGCAGAAGCAAACATCAAACTCAAGCTTGGATCCGGAATTTTGATAGGAGTTCCTATTCCTCAAGAGCACTCAACATCTGGACATATAATTGAATCTGCCATCAGTAAAGCCATTAAAGAAACAAAGTTTGCTCTCTTGCTTTCTTTCTATTTTCTTACGACATTTTGCATTTTGTAGCTTATTGACTGGTTCATGCTAATGCTTTCATGATAATTGATATATTTAGTATTAATTTCACTAAAATTAAAGTTAATATGTGCCACTTGTAGGGAAAATAATATATCAGGAAACGCCATAACTCCTTTCTTGCTCGATAGAGTAAATGCACTCACCGGAGGTGTCTCGCTTGCTTCAAGTATCCTCTTTCGAAGTTTTTCAACAATATATTTTAAATCATATTTTAATTTAATATGAAACTATAATTTGTTAATATGATTTCAGACCTTGTCCAAATTAATATCTTAACCATATTTAGACATTGCTCTTGTGAAGAATAATGCCCAACTCGGGGCTAAAGTCGCCGTTGCCCTTGCTCAGCTAAGAGAAAACAGTCAAAGGTGAGTTTATAGTTTCTTGATTTTATGATTGAAACTGATCCTTACCAATGTAAAATTTGAATGTTCCTTTACATGATCCTAAAAATTCCAAAGGGTTCCTTCCTTACTAATGTAAAATATGAATGTTCCTTTACTGATAATTCAATTCACTCATATTTACAGGAAACAAGAGACAGAATAGCACAATAATTCAATTCACTCATATTTACAGGAAACAAGAGACAGAATAGCACAATAGAAGATATGTTGAAGAAAATGTTTTATTAGTTTGCATGGCTGGGATTAAGAAATTTTAGGGACATAAATTTATTTAACAGTAGTGTTAATCAGTATCTATTTCTCTTACACCATGGAGGAATAAAGAGTGGAAAATAAGGAGGGTTTCAATTGTTTGGCAGGAGAGAATGGAAAGAAAATTTTAAAAATTGTCTCACTGTATTTAATTGTATAGAAAGTGAGAGGAAAATTCCTACTGTAAAATGACAGAAACATTATTCCTTTCATTCTAAAACCAACATGCAATTTTTTTTCCAGACTCATTAGCTCCTACACCAAGCTAACCAAGAATGTTTTGATGGTTTTTCTCCTATTTCAAAATCAAGCAGTTTTTTAGTTTTTTCATTTTACATTTTTGCATTTAAAATTGACGATTTATCTATTTTTAAAAGATGTCACTTGTAAAATTTGACAAACCATCATCACTAGCGGATCCACATATAGGATAATGGGGGCACTTGCTCCAACAAGACTTTTATTTTTTTTATATACTAACTTTTTTTATGCATTTAATTGTTTAATAATTTCAGTGTAAATGTTACATACATAACTCACCAATCTTATGTCAGTCATTAAATTTATATTACGCATAACTCTTTATTACATAAATTTACATTTAAAGTAATATATATTTTTATTATTGTAGTTTTTTTATAAGTTGGTTATGTTAAATATTAAAAAATAATTATTTTCAAATATATATATTTTTATTTTAACATATTAAAGTATAGATTTGTTATAATGTATTATAGAAGTTAAAGTATTTAATTAAGACTTATTTTTAGAATTTTTTTTTAGAATAATCATGTATTTCAATTAAATTACCACTTAAATGAGAGATTCAAAAAAATTCTCAAACCAACTACATTTCAGCATGCAGACGCCAAACCATATAGCGACAGAGACACAAACCATATAGCGACAGAGACAGACGCCAAACCATACAGCGACAGAGACAAAACTGAATTTGGGCTTCAGCAAAGTCGCCAAACCATATGGCGACAGAGGCAAAAATAATTTGGGCTTCAGCAAAGTTGCCCATCCATTTGGCGACACAGTTTGGGCTTCAGCAAAGTCGCCCATCCATTTGGCGACTCAGGTTTTTTAGGTTTAATAAATATTTTTTAGGTTTAATAAATTGATATAAATATTTTTTAGGTTTAATAAATTGATATAAATATCTTTAAGGTTTAATAAATATTTTTTTATACTTTTAGGTTTAATATAAATATAATTATGATATAATTTTAAAATATAGTTTTTAAATAATAATTATTGTTTTTAAATTATAAATATTTTTAAGTTTTTAAATTATAAATCAAATTAAATAAAAAATTAAAATTGATTAACCATTGAATTTTAAAGTACATAAATTGATTTAAATTTTAAATTTTAAAACATAATAAACATATGATTAATCATTGAATTTTAAAGGATATAAATTTTGTAAGGCTATTTAACACATATATGTTTTTACAACATTGTATACCAAAAGACTGAAGTTTTAACAATTTTGAGTGGAGTGGAGTCTAGAATGTCTGCATTTCTAAATCAACGTTCTTCGTCGTCGTCATCAGCATCGGAGGAACCCTTTCCAACATTCGATTTAATGAAAAGAAATGCCCTAGTTTTTTTTCTCTAACAACAAAGCCTCCGATGAAGGTGCTCTTGTGGAATACGCAGACATTGGAGCATTTGCATAGGGAACTAAGCCGCTGGCTAGAAGGAGATATTGCTCCAGGAGAAAAGATTAGGAAAATCGAGAGGTTGGTCGAGGAGGCTGAGAGAAATGGAGTTACTCGTGAATGGAGAAAAATGGAAAATGATGTTGGTGTCCTTGTGATGATGTTAACACCAAAGAAGATAACGTTGATGGTCGTGATATCGTAGACGCCTTGGTGCATTGTTCTGTTTTATGTCTTTATGTTGTTGTTATTTTCAGAATGTTGTTGTGATATTAAGTTATGTTTGTTTAATTTATGTTGCTTTCTAATTGTAATCGGTTAAGTATGCTTTAAATGGAATGAAATTTGCTATTGATTTAAAGGGACACAGTTACATATGAAACTATGATCTGCTGTTTGATCTTATGTTAGGACATTTTGTACGATTGTGTCCTGGTTGCCAACACGAACTACATAATCTTATCATCTTGTCTGCAGTATCCATCTCCGTTCGAATGCGCGTGCTGTTAGGGCGACCCTTTTTCTTTCTGCGCATCAAGTCATTATGCGAGACAATTTCGCCTTCGTATTGAGACCAATAGTCCTCCTTTGCCACCACCTGAAAGCTACATGTGTAGACATTACATACTAGCTGCACGCCTCAAATGCATCAAGACACTTGTCCTGCATGCATTTACAAATCACATGCATCAAGACATTTGCCCTACATGCATTTACAAGACACATGCATCAAGACACTTACCCTACATGCATTCACAAGACACATGCATCAAGACACTTGCTCTGCATCCAACTACAAGTCACATGCATTCGTGGAATATAAATAGAGGTTCTTTACCTAGCAAAATATGCTCACACTCAAAGTCTCAAACTCTCAAAATTTCAAAGTCTCAAACTCTCGAACTCTCAAAGTCTTAAATTCTCAAACTCTTAAAGTCTCAAATTCGTAAACCACAATGTCTCTACTCACAATGAGCAACTCTCACATAGGCACGATTGAGAACATCGTTGAGTTTGTAAGTTTTTAGTTTTTGTCTATTTTACAATCTTTAGTTCTCCTATAAAACTAACGAAACATTATTTATTTTGCAGGATGCATCAAGGTTTTGGTGCCGTGTGCATGATTACATACCACACGACCCCCTCATAGAGGGATACCTTCAACATTGTGGGTTTGGTGATTTGATTAAAATCAAATCATACTCACTCGATACAAAGTTCATTCTAGCGTTGTTAGAACGCTGGAAACCAGAGACACATACATTTCACCTACCTTTCGGTGAGTACACTGTGACTCTTCAAGATTTCTACATGTTGCTCGGTATACACATCAATGGTAAGGCCGTCAACGACAAAGTTGGTGTTAACGACCAACTTTGCGAAGATTTATTGGGCGCCCCTCTTTGTGTGAACGCAATTAAGGGAGAACACGAGGGTCGCCAGAGGGGTCAGGGAATAAATCTTAAATACCTCAGAGAATAATACAATAGTATTGTCTTATGTGAAGATAGCACCAAATATTAGGGGTGTACGCGGGTTGGGTTGGACCGGGTTCGCCTTAACCCGTTACCCAACCCGTTCAACTTTCAATGGGTTGGGTTTATCATCAAACCCGTAATTCTACTTTAAAAACCGACCCGAATCAACCCGGATATTTACGGGTTGGGTAGGGTTGAGTCCACGGGTTGTGTATATAATAATTATTATTTTCAATTAAAAAAATATATAACACAATTCAATATAATTTTGCATATTTCAAACAATTAAATTATTTACGTAGTGGAGACAAATCCTACATATAAAATAGAATAATTAAAAATATAACAATTAAAATTTTGAAATGTATTTTCTTTGTCATAAAAAATATTAAGATACATATACACCATTAGTTATTTATATATTTTCATTAATATACCTTAATTTATAAAAATTTATTAGTTACGGGTTGGGTCAACGGGTTCATGGGTTTAGAAACTAAAACCCAATACCCGAACCAAATCTATACGGGTTGTTACGGGTTGGGTCGGGTATACCCGTAAATGAATGGGTCCGGGTAATTAGTGGGTTGGCTCGGTTTGGGTAGGCGGGTTTGCGGGTCGACCCGCACCCATGAACACCCCTACCAAATATGATAAAATAGTCAAAACATGGTGCTATATTATGATTTTGTTTGGTCACTTTTTATTTCCAGAGGGCACTGGAAATAACGTAAATATTATGTATTTACCATCGCTACAAAACATAAACAAAGTGTGTGAATATAATTGGGGATCAGCTGCCCTCGCCCATCTGTATAGTGCACTTTGTAAAAATTCCAAAAAAAAATCATGTACTTTTTATGGCTGCGCCTATCTCCTACAAGCGTGGGGTTGGTCTAGGATGCCAACGCTTTCTCCAGTAAACCGGAATCCGTTTACATTCTCGTACGCCACCAAGTAAGTTTCTTTTCAAGACTATTTAGCAACCAAAGTTTCTTTGTAAGTTAATAATTTGTGAGATACATTTTAGATGCTAACTTATCTGTGTTTCTGCTCTTTTAGGTGGTCTGTTCCAGGGATGAATTATCAGAGATGTCCCAGGAACTCCATAATTGTGTATCAGAACCTCATCGACCACGTTGGGCCAGACGATGTAAGTTATTTACATTTACTTTGTCTAACTTATATGCATAAACTTGTCTATCTTTGTCTGACTAAATGTATCTACCTTTATTGTAGTTTGTCTGGATGTCGTACAAGGGTCTCGACCACCAACCTGACGCCAATGATGCTGATGTGTGGACATCAAAAACACCCATCATTAGGTTCACTACGGTGGAGATGCACCAAAGTGACCGGGTGAAGCTATAATTTGGGATGCATCAGGATATTCCAGATGCTCCGACATCATTGGGGGAGTGGCATCAGAAACGGGTGGACTCACAGTGGAATGTCAGTCATTGGAAGGAGTTTGCGAAGGAGATGTGTCAACATTTGAAGAACAGAAGGCAACACATCTTAACCGACCAAATTGTGGAAGGGGCTAAGCCAAGTTATCAATATATGACTTGGTTTAGGTCGGTTACAACATCTCAGTCAATTATGTCTCAGCCAACCTATTTGATTGATCCAAGGCAACGCGCTTCTTCATCAAACACACAACAATAGTCCAATGCTCAACATCAGCCTTAACATAACCCATACATGTCACCAAATGCCCAACATCAACAACAACATCCTTA